AAAAAAAAAAAAAAAAAAAAAAAAAAAAAAAAAAAAAAAAAAAAAAAAAAAAAAAAAAAAAAGACAAACCGCCAATTGTTGTATTTGTTTGTATCGATATAAGGATGTCTGCCGCTCAAAAGAAAACACAAAAAACAGCCCAAACCATAAATATCTTTTGCTTCGCCATCTATCATTTCTTCTGTATCTGCTGCTGCTGCTGCTGCTGCTGCTGCTGCTGCTGCTGCTGCTGCTGGTGCTGCTGCTGCTGCTGCTGCGGAGGAGGAGGAGGAGGAGGAGGAGGCAGCAGAGGGAGATGCTGCTGCTGCTGCTGCTGTTGCTGCTGTTGCTGCTGTTGCTGCGGAGGAGGCAGCAGAGGGAGATGCTGCTGCTGCTGCTGCTGCTGATGATGATTGTTCTGCTGCAGCAGAACACGGAGCTGCTGCTGCTGCTGCTGCTGAAGCAGCAGCAGGAGATTGTGTTGCTGCTGCTGCTGCTACTTCTGCTGCTGCTTCTGCTGCTGCTGCTGCTTGTGGTGAGTCTAAAGAGGTTATATTTTTTGCGTTTTCTTCTGTGTTTTGGTTTTGTATTTGTTTATTTTGTTTGTTTTCTTTATTTTCTTTTTCTTTTTCTTTTTCTTTTTCGTTTTTATTTTTATTTTTATTTTTATTTTGTTGCTGCTTATAGAGAGGGTTTACCTCTTCTGGGGGGACAACTAGCTTGGATGAACCTGTAAACAAAACAGGGTTTAGGGTTTAGGGTTTAGGGTTTTCTAGGGTTTAGGGTTTTGTAGGGTTTAGGGTTTAGGTTTGTGTGTCTTTGTATTTATTTTATTTGTGTTGTTTATTTTTTTTATTTTTATTTTTGTTTTTCTCTGTTTATCAAAAAAATAAATAACACTATAAAATAAAATAAAATAAAATAAATAAAATAAAATAAATAAAATAAAATAAAATAAATAAAATAAAATAAAATAAATAAAATAAAATAAATAAAACAAAACAAAACAAAACAATGCAAAAAAACAAAACACAAATCAGAGTAAAATAAAAAAACAATAATAATAATAAAATAAATAAAAAGATAATAAAATACAAAAAAATAAAATAAAAAAATAAAAAAATAAAAAAATAAAAAAATAAAAAATAAAAAAATAAAATAAAAAAGTATAGATTACCTCCTGCTGCAACTTTTCCGTCTCTCCCTATTTGAGCGCTATCTAAATCCAAGACAACAGCAGCAAGCATGCAGCCGCAGCTGCAGCAGCAGCAGCAGCAGCAGCAGCAGCAGCAGCAGCAGCAGCAGCAGCAGCAGCAGCAGCAGCAGCAAGAGAAAAAGAAGCAGCAGGAGAAGCAGCAGCAGCAGCAGCAGCAGCAGCAAAAGCAGATGTAGAGAGCAAATGAGAGAGAAAAAAAGAAAGCAATACTGCAGACATCTACATGCTGTTGCTGCTGCTGCTGCTGCTGCTGCTGCTGCTGCTGCTGCTGCTGCTGCTGCTGCTGCTGCTGCT